CTTCCTTCGCAGCCCGTTTACCTTTTGCTTTCTTACCCTTTTTCGAAGTATCCTCCTTCTTAGCCGCGGTACACTCTCGTTCATTGTGCCCCCATTTTCCGCAATTCCAACACTGAATCTTCGTCCGTCTCCTTCTAGTATCATTTGCAGCGCCAGCACCACCAGAACGTCGTTTCTTGCTCCCTTGTGCAAAGAAAGCGTTCTCTCCGTGTGGCTGCTGCTGTTGCGGTCCAGATTCAGCATTGTGTTGGGTGTTCTTACCCGCTCGAGCGTCTGCTACAGCTTTAGCCTGATTATTTCTCTCTTCTCTGCTACTCAACTTGACCTTCACTTGTTGCAGAGTATAGTCATCGAGATTGTCGAAAGTCTCCACCATACTTTCGTATTTGTCGCCAAGTCCAGTCAACAAGGCGGTAATCACCTCTCGATCAGTAACTTCTTCACCCATAAGCGTCAGCTCCTGATGAATTGCTTCAACACGGTGGATGTAGTCTCGAATGGATTCAGTATTTTCAAATTCCACATTTAACAATTCGCGTCCCTTAAACAGAACTACAGCAAAGGACTTCTTCTCAAAATCCTCTACAAGAGCGCTCCATTTTGCTTGAGGGGTCTTAAGATGAGCAAACCGAACGCGCGAGCCGTCGTCCAGTGTGTTCGTGAAGATGTCGTTGAGCAACAGGTTCTTGTCCTTCCACTTCCTGCGCTTGGTCGAAGCTTTAGCTGTTCCATCCCGATCAGGCTTTTTCTTTTTCCCTATTAGTATCTTTCAGCATCTCCTTGCATTAAACGCTGCCTTCAACCCTTCCTTGTACGCGAGGCAGTTCTTGCCGTCGAATCGCAGAGACCGAACAGTATCAATACGATGGCCATCCAGACCTCCCTGGTTTGGGCTCATAACCATTATTTTTTGGTTTTCTCAGAGCTTACCAACAACTCACAGCAATGTAGCAGCACGGGCAAATGCAGTGTATTAGTTCGTTTACTTCTGCTCTCCACTCGGCAATTTGCGGAATGACAATGTTTTGGGCATGCAAGCTGTCAGCTTGTGACCGGTTAATCAATGGTAGGAAGTATAGTCACACTTCTCGAAGTCAATCCTTTCTGTTTTTGTTTCTCTTACTTCCCCTTTCACGAAGAGATACTATGCAGAACATTCGCTTCCGGGGACTTTGTGGTGGGACCATGATCGTTGCAACAAGCGTAAAATCTTTTAAAGCAAACGAAGAGAATTTATGGTAAAGCAAGTCGTGTTCCTTTGTACACAATGGGTTACTGCAGACATTGAAGATGGAGAGATTGCGAAGTGCGTCACGCAAATTAATTAAACCTAATCGTAGGTGCGACATTATGTCCAGTATTTAGGTTAGTGTTAGACACGATGTCGGACATATCATGATTTTCCCCGTTGGATTCTGTTGCTCAAAGTGCAAATCTCGTTTCGGGCAGAAGACGTCAGACAGCTTGTCTAACTATAATGGAGGACCACGATTGGGAGAAACTACAGCAAACTGTTCAGGACATTCGCGAGAACATCGTTAATGTGCGCTCGCGCGCTACCTACAGTACCATAACTCGTACTACCGCTTCCTCGCTTGAAATGTTCGTCACAAACCGCACCTTGCGTCTTCGCTGCTTTTAGAGCGCCTCGGAGATACCAGTGACTGCACCGTGCAACAGTTGAGAGCACGTATCAAGGAGCTGGTCACTCAGGACAACAACTCAGAGCCGCTGAAGTTTGATGATCTCACAGCAAAGAATTCTGTTACCTGGATTGTAACGCTTGAGCGAAAAGATAGAAGTTCTCTCAGCTTCTCTGCTCTGAACACACACAGAGCAGGACGGTTTAATTTGTTTCGTGACTTCGGACACACGATGAGCAAGGCGTTAGAATCAGAGTTGACTAACTCTCTTAAAGGGCTCAAGCACAAGCTCGCTACGGACGCTGCAAATGGAGACACCAAAATTAAAACTGGTAAGGCTCTTTTGATGGATGCTTTGTACTCCTTTTTGTGCAAGAAGATGCTGGTTCATTCCAGCAAGGAAATACCATGTGCTCACGCCTACATGGTCATCGCCTGGAATCTGATGTGCCGTTTGGCAAATGCTTTCGGTATCCTGCATTCACACATGGAGTAGAGAGGTGATGCCTTGCAGATTTACTTCGCGCACATGTAGAATGACCAAGGCGGAGATCGCCTCAGCACATCTACTCCAATCCTTTGCAGCCAAGTATCTCTCCGATAGTTACTCTGGGACTTTACTGGGCAATGTCAGATTTTGATGGAAGTGATTTACTCTTCCCCGGTAGCAATCAGTACGAGAGGTTCAGAAAGTGCTGGATGAGACTGCTTTGTGAAGACGACGTGGCGGCCGAGTTAAGACGACAAGGACTTGGTGCTGAGAAGTTTGGAACGCGTTGAATGCGTAAAGGGTCGTCTACTTTCTGGTCGTCTGGATCTACGGCATGCCCTTCGTCGACAGCGGTCTATCTACAAGCTGGATGGTCACTTGGAGGCGTGCAGAACACGTATCTGCAGTACAAAGCCGCTGGAGACATGCATGTTGGACGCACTATATCTGGTTTACCCACTGAGAGTTACAAGTTCTCGACCTTAGCACCTCACTTCGAATTTCGAGATGAATGCGTCGAAAGGGGTTTGAACCTGATGTTTCCGTCATTACCAGAGAGACTAGAATACATTGCGGAGGACTGATTGACCTCGTTGGTACATCACGCAGCGTTCTTCAGAAATTCTCTTTCTTTGAAGCACCTCATATTTGGGACGCCATTGTTCTCGGATGAGAACCTGCTTGCACAATTATCAACACGAGTAAAAACAGGAGATGGATGCATCGAGACTCGTATTCGACCGACTGGCATTCCTCCGCATGTGGCAATACTATGTGAGATGAAATGGGTTAAAGACGGCTTAGTCGATGCCTTGTAAAAATTCGAGGCTACACGAACGGATACTGCCAAAGATATTATCACGGAGTTAGAGAAGAGAGTAATTGGTGTAGGTGCAGACACGAACGATGGTATGCACACCGCGATCAAAGCGTATCTCGAAGATGCTGACGTGACAGGTCTCGTTGACAAACTGACTGCGTCTCGAACGTGTCACGTGTGAAACGGATGGGCACCGTCTCGGGGACCGCGCATGCTGTCATACAGGTCGCTGACGACATCTGGGAAGATCAGCTAGTGGACGAGGCGCGGGTTGCGACTCCTCACTGGTCCAGATCTGGGACCCTGGCCGCTTTGAAATTTTTGGCCGAGCGCGTATGACTGCCTGACAGAAGAGTAGGCCGCTAAGACCTTGGGAGATGACCGTTGGTCTGCAGTGCCCTCGTGCGTACTCCTAGGCGGGTGCTCGGGACGGATGACAAGGCTCTAACACCGATTGTGCGCTGTACTAGCTTGTTAGTTAGCTGGAAGGGGTGCATCTGCCTCTTACGAGGAGGTGCTACCTGCATGGAAGGCGCTGCAAAGAATACGACGTTGAAGCTGGCGGTTGGGGCTACTTCGGAAGACGAAGGTGCTGGAGCAAGAAATAAGTAAGTTGAAGAGTAGTTGCGGTTTTGCCTTAAGCTGAACAAGTTGAATCTTTTGTATTTGACTCGACAGCTAACCTATTGCTTCACCTGACCGTCCTTCCAGACCCTCCTACAAAGGCGGTCGCGACAACTTGGTGGAGAAGCAAGATAACGTCTAAGGGGGTGAAGTGACTCACGTCGGGAAGAGAAGTGTCCGGTACAGGATCTGGAACTTCGGGCCTTCAGCATCCAAGATTACGCTGACGAGCGAAGTCTCCAGATAAGAAGCGGACTTACAGGGCAGCCGCAAGCATAAGAGACCAGGTGCCAGACTCACGATACGCTTAGGGGTTCAGGACTAGCGTCAAGAACGGTTGACACGGAGGTACAACCAAACTCGGATTCCAGGTCGAAATAGAGACTTGGGCTCCGAGTCGTCGTCGGACGAGTCGTCGTTCACACTCTTTGGTATTGCGGCTTGCTCTTTACGGCTGAGTTTCTTGTTGTGAAGTCTAGTGCATCGAGCCTTCTCTGCTGCTTGGTATTCCTTCGCCGGCTCGAGTGAAATCTGATGATAGCGGTTAATCTCTCGCTGCCAGGCTAGTGCCTACCAACACCTCACTTCAGAGAGGTCGTCATCGCTCGTAATGTCATCTGGGCATCCCATCCATGCACCAAATGAAATGGTGTCTCTTTCCTGGTCGTATCATGAGCGTTTTGTTGATCGCATAGACTAGTCGTTCGGCATCCACATAGGCTTTGACAGACTGCATTACGGTTTTGACCGACCGCTCTTGCTGTCCATTCGCTTGTGGGCGATAGCTCAGCGCCGACCTTGGCCGCGCTTGTATTAGTTCAGCGAAGACTTGGAAGACCTCGCTCATGAAGCGCGGGTCCCAGGCGTGACGAATGAGAGACGAAGCACCAAATCTCATATTGATGCATTCCTCGACCACAGTCAGTGCATCGGTGTCCGGCATCACTCTAACGACCACCAATCCCGTAAACGAGCACTACCATAACAACAGAGCCGTGTTCTCCCGACGAGATCTCGGCAAAGGGATTACGAAGTCCATTGACACCACCTGGAATGGTCGTTCCGCGAGCACATTACCAGTAAGTAGCTTTTGAGCTGCGGCAAGCTCTTGCTTGAGCTGCAGTTGAGGCATAACTTCACTTGTTTATCCACATCTGCATAGAGACCGATCCAGTAATAGTCGTGTTTTACTTTCGGGTAGGAGTGGGCGACACCTTGATGTCCTCTTTCAATGGAGTCATGGCAGTTGTGTAGCACCTCTTGGATCATTGTGGTTGGCACTAGTCTCAACAACATCTCGGGTAAGTTTTCTTCGACCTTTCTTCTGCTCACACCCGTGCGATACAGGATATTGCCACTTGATAGCACAACATTGTCGCCCCACTTCCAGGCTTCCCGAGCTTCCTTGTAAGTCATCGCGGTGGTTTCACCTTTCAGAATAGATTTCAGATTCGACCACCCCAGCTCCACATCCTGGGCTTGGGCGATACGACGCTTCGCTCTTCTTGGACTGCAACCGGGTGAATGTCATCGGCTGTTGGCTCGTATCGAACCTCAGCACATGGTCGCTACACCTGCATTTCTGAGTGCTCGGGGGATGCTTCAGTTACTTCAGCAGTAGGCGTTCCTTCAGGGACTTTGTCCTCAAAGTGCACTCTTTTCTTCTTTGTCTTGGTCTGACTTCGAATTGTAGCTGAGACCTCGGCGCGTTCTTGGCGCGCAAAGTCAGCAAAGGTCTTGCGTTGTAGCAAGATATCGTTGTCCATACCATGAATACGATGTGTAGTTCCATCCAAATTTGGACGAAAGTCCCGGAACCCGTATTTTCGGCCTTGATATTGTCTAAAGACGGCTCATAGATAATTTCTTGGATTCTATTCAAATCCTTGAGCTCGGTCTTACGGTGGTCGTTGAGCACCACCTCTGCCACTTTCGACTCCAATGCTTCACCAGCAAGTGAGTCAGCCGCTGCATTATACTTGCGCACCACGTGCAGATATCGGGACTGACTTGAGCTTAGAGTTCTCGCTGGTGGTTTAGGAGTGTTATCAGCGAATCCTTCCGACATGCAAGCACCCCTAGTGATTGCTGGATTGCCAACCTCTAGTCCCCAACGATGATAGTGAGTCAGCCGCTGCATTATACTTGCGCACCACATGCAGATATCGGGACTGACTTGATCTTCGCACCGAGTTCTCGCTGGTGGTTCAGGAGTGTTATCAGCGAATCCTTCCGACATGCAACCACCCCTAGTGATTGCTGGATTGCCAACCTCTAGTCCCCAACGATGA